CCACTAATTACATCTCAACTCAGTGTACATGATGTCCAGTCAGTGAGACTAATTGCGGTATCGTATCTAGGTCAGCGTTTTTTATAGCAAGTTTGTGTTTTACAGAATGTGGTTACAGTCTTCATGCTCAATTCTCCTCCTTTACCTTGTTTTGGGACCGGCACTAACTCTAAGAAAACTGCATGCAGAGTTATATTGTATCTAGATTGATAGAATCCAATCAACACCAAAAAGGATTAGACAGACATTGAATTGATAATTACACTGTGATCTATCAGTTGAAATGCTACAGATTCTTAAATTATTCCCCAATCTGAGTTTAATCAGCTCAAGTTAATCTCTATAATCCTCTGAACTAATTTTATTTTTAAATTTACTTAGTATTTTCTGTTTGAATCTTCCCATTGATCCGTCTCTCATTGACTGACGAGTCCCAAATAGGACAAAACACGCGTCCTGGATTCCGTTGCTAACGGATATCCATTTTGCATATAATGCTTTTGAATTAAGGCTATATCGAGGCAATACGCACAGTATGCACATATACCAATAAGTGACTGATCAGTTGCAGTCCTAAACATCAGTGAGATGATTCAAGTAAACAATATCAAGTGAATTTAAAACTTCACCTCATTGCACAAGCAAGCGGCTATCAGGACTCAGTAGTTAAGTGGATAACGCGATGGTGTTTAAAGCGAACAGTACTGAGTTTGAGCCCTACAGTGAACATCAACTATGGGCTTTAGGTACATCCAACTGACGAGTCCAAAATACGACGAAACGCGTGTCAAACTGGATTCCATTGTTAGCTACTATTGATGTTTGCATATGAATTTATTTTTAAGTTTGTAATTTTATTTTGTTTGTGTGACAATCAGTATGTCAATAGAGATTGTTCATATACTAATCAAAAGTTCACTGAAATTTCTACTCATCTTTGTCCATACATCAATTACACAAAAGATCAGCTTTTGTTGTTGTTGTTGATTGAACTCATATTCAATGTAAACATTGATAATTGACATTTGAGTAAATCATTTATGATTTGTTTAAATTTTGTATAAATAACACAATATTCACAATGTTGTATAAACAATAGTGAAACTTATACAAGATAATAAGTAAGTATCAGTATTCATTATCATTGAACATATATATTATGAATAGATCTTGATGGGGTTTTGTTCTCTGAGTTGAATGGTTTAATCTACTTGAAGTTTGTGCTGATGATTCCGTTTAGAAGAACAATGACAACTCCATGACCAAACCATCCAACTCAGAGAATAAAACTCCATAAAAAGTCATCCAACTGAGCTACAAATTTTCACCATGAACAGATCTTTTCAAATGGAATGATCCTTATTTTATGAAATTTTAATCTTTATACAAAGATATATGTAGCATTTGTGTTAAAATGTTTATAGATATATATATTTAATAGTTGAGTAGTATTGTGCTATAGGGTGTTCAGTCAAATTGATAAATTTATTATGAAAAGAGTTGTTGAATGTTACTTGTTAATTTCATGTAAAGCGATAATATTTAACGTTCGATTACTTACTTAGTTAGTTAGTTATCTACGCCTGTTACTCCCAGTGGAGCATAGGCCGCAATCCAGCATTCTCCAATCCACTCTGTCCTAGGCATTCTTTTCTAGTTCTATCCAATTGTTGTTCATTAATCTTCCTACGTCTATCTCCGTTTCTCGGCGTAATATGTTCTTTGGTCTTCCGCTTTTCCTTTGGCCTTGAGGACTTTAAGTGAGGAGTTGCCTTGTGACACAGTTGAGTGATTTCTTCAATGTGTGTCCTATCCACTTGCAGCGCTTCTTTTTGATTTCTTCATCCGCTGGGATCTGGTTTGTTCTCTCCCACAGTAGGTTATTGCGAACAGTGTCTGACCAACGGATCCGTAGTGTTGTGCGTAGACAACCGTTAATAATCACTTGTATCTACTGGATGATGGCTTACGCAGTTCTTCAAGTTTCTGCCGCATAAAGTAGAACTGTGTTGACATTTGTATTGAAAATTGTGACTTTGGTGTTGGTTGACAGTTGTCTTGATTTCCAGATGTTCTTCAGTTTTGACTATACTGCTCTTGCCATAAAATCTGCTTGAGTTAAATTTCATTCTAGCTATTCATTAAAATATCCGGAAATAGATGAGTTTAATTATGTTTTAACTTTGGTTATTAAGTTTTACAAGTGTGAGATATTACTTGTAAGTTGTTCAGTATGAGACTCATCTTTTGTATGTAAGAGATTATTCATTACATAATGATTGTTTAATAACAAATTCCATCATTACCCATCACTAGATACTAATTGAATTCTATAAATGGAATCATTATGTGATGCAAAGGTTAAATTACCCATTATCCCATAGATTATGTTTATGATTATGGAGTTGTGGAGATTATTGAGTTTTTGATTGAGATCATGAGCCGATTGATGTTAAACCACCACTTAAAACCTGGAAACACTGGACGGCCATTTCGTCCTAGTGTGGGACTCCCTAGAATTGCACATCCACAATCCCATCCCGCGAGATTCCAGTCGAAGACCTATGAGTCTCGTACGCGAACGCTTAACCTCTAGACCACTGAGCCGGTCGGCATCCAACGATGTTAATGTCTAACTTCAACTAATTCAAAAAATTGAGCCAATGTTCAATATTGTCACCAGTGAGTTACTATCTCACAACATATTCTGTTGAACTCCACTCTTCATTGCTTCTCACTAGAACTCTAGGAAATATCTCTTGAAGCCAGTAACTAGGAAGAAAACGGTCGTCCAGTGCTTTCAGGTTTTCCATGATGGTTTAGCTTCAATGGATATAATTATGACTTACATAATGATCAATATCAACTATGTCACTTTGTTAATGAGATGAATGTGAATATCATAAGTTGTTTTTTTTTTTTTTACATTAATAATTATACTATCTGTAGATTTGTCTCTATTGATAAAGATTTAGATTTTAACTCAGTAAATTTGAGTAATGAAATATCTGTTCATAAGTATGAATATCAGAAGGGGTTTTTTGTGGATATTATAATTATTTTAAATACTTAAGATCATTAGTAGTCAATTGAACGTAGATCACCATGGAAAACCTGAAAGCATTGGATTAGTTGATCCCCACTCCTCCCCCCCCAAAGAAAACAACAAACAAACAAATAGAATCTGTATTCATTGACTATTAAGATTCACTTTGTTTCATATGTTTGAATTACATAAAAATTTATTGTTGAATACTGTAATGTATTCATTAAATAATTGAATCAATTCCCATCATCCCCGTTTTGTATATTTGATATCAGAAAACAATTTCTAAAGTTACTTAAACTGTTACTGCTTGCACCTAATGTTAGTTTCTATATATATATATATATATATATGCTGTTGTTATACAAGATACAATGACTCCAAAAGGTGTCAACATTTATATTGTGATGTTTTTTAAATTTATCAAGAATATCTTGTTACTGGTCCTTTATTTTTGGTGTAATATTGTTATAATATGTCAGTTTGTTGAATAAGTCTTAATAGAAGTACGACTGATTATGGTGTATGCTACTGATATCATCAGACCTAAGTAGTATAGTAGTGGATAAGAACACAAGTAAGGATACTTAAAGAAACAACTTAATAAAATAATTTGAGAAACATATAGTAAATAGTTAATTTGCAAAATATTAATCCATTGTCATAAACACTTTACTGTTTCATTGGCAACTATCAGCCTATCGTCTCAGATTTCATTAGTCCTGAATTTTTATACTAATTACTTTCCGTTTTCATTCTTTCCTTCTCGATCTTCCACTGAAATACATTCTATTTGTGCCTATCGTTATATACTACTTATATGAATATAAGTAGTTCACAATAGAGTATATATCACCAATTGAAAGTGAAATGTCTGACGACAGAAATTAAAGAAAATCGAACAGAAGAGAATGAAAACATATATTCATTAGTATAGAAACGAAGAAACAACAAATTTTGAGATACTTGATAGATATTTTATAAATGAAGTATTTACTACATAGTTCTCAATTGTTACCAAAATATTCTATAATTGATAATAATACAATTATTCCCACGTTTATTCTCATTCACTACAAAGTTATTATTTCTATGGTATATGGAAAAGAAATATTTATGCAAATATATTTATGACTGAATTCGTCGTTCATAGACCTTTCATAACAAATTTATGAGCTATAACAATAATAATAATAATAATAATAGTAACAGCAGTAGAATATGGTCATGCGATGTCAGAAATTAATTGAAGTTAAGTTATATGCGTCATTATACTCCGCCTCAGTAGCAGTAGTAGTAGTAGTACTCGTAATCGTAGTCGTAGTAGTAATAGCCACAGTTCAAAGAAGTATTCAAAACACTTCTAATAAACAGTCAAATAAGTTAAACTAGATTAGATGGTTGTTGGAGGTAGTCGACAGGAAACCCTGGACCCGAGTTTTGTGCTACTTGTCATTCTTCAGCAAAGTGTACCTGTAATCTTGAGGGAACTGATGCTCCCTGGTGGATTACGATCCCATGTCACACAAACTTCACAGTCACAGACGTTACTACCCCAGTGATCAATCAATTGTGATAGTTAAACTAGGCTAACCATATCAAATATGATATAAGAAACGTATTATAAACAAACAAAAAAGATGATCAAGCTATCATCATTAATTCTAACATTGAAAGCTTCCATAAATCATAGAAGATTTTAAGTTGCTCTTTTAAAATTTGTAAATTATCCAAACTATAAAGTAAAGTATAATGGTATAAGATCTATACAATAACATTTAAGATTGAACTAAAAGTAATTCATTATATAGAATTTGATTATTATTACTATTTGATTAATCTATTACAACATGAATACCTTATCAATTTTATACATGTATGTCTATATAACTTTACTGTAGTTCAATAGAATAGAGACAAACAATTAATTCTATATTATATCGAAGAGAAGAAAATGAATCTATTTAACATACTTCTATTATTCATAACACAATGTTATATATTCGAAATGAAACCGTATCAATACGATAATGAGAAACAAATAAAAATGATCAACAAAAGAACATTGAATGGTAAGAATTTAATCGATTCCCTGAAAATACAAACATATTAAGACGTAAGAAAATAATTTGAAAAAAAAGGAACACAAAAAACTAGCAAAATGAAAAAAAGAACAACAGTAATGCTATAATAAAATATCAAAATCTGCAAAAGTATATTACTATATAAACAAGAACGTCAGACTTCACACAATACAAACGAATATTACGCGGTCGGTCTGACTGTCTGTCTCTCTCTCTCTCTCTTTCTCTCTCTCTCTCTCTCTCTCTGTCTGACAGGCTATCCGCCTCACTGTCTTTCTGTCTGTTCGTCTGTTCGTCCACCGTCTGTGTTTCCACCTGACAAACTGTCTGACACACATTGTCTCTCTCTGCACATTCACACTTGACAATTTCACAATCACACAATATTCATTGATCACTCGACACGCACAAGTCAATCTCATTTGATCACTTTCATTGTCGACTGGAATATTCATGTGTGCATTGACCACTTGACTCACGGTTTTCAATCAATCACCTTGTAGATGAGAATCCAGGTGACCACAAAGATGAAGTACCCCAGGAACATAATGATGGTGGTAAGTGTCACATAAATCATTTGCATCAATCTATACTGATATTGTTTTGACTATCTGACACACGTGTGAACCATCAGTCCGCTACAACTACACACGAACACTCTATTTCTCTAACACACTCACACAGACACACACACACATTGCGAAACACAATCACTCACATTCACTGACTCACTCACTAGATTACTCAATTATTAACACAATCACTCACTCAACCACTTCATATCACCTCTATTCTACACATACACACCCATCAAACATCACACATTAAACACATATCACTATCAAATCAATCATTGCTTCAATCACATTCCTCCACATATAACACATTCCCTCTCCAACTAAACATGTAGCCATAGATATATCTATATACATATAAATACATATATATATATATATATATCTATGTAGACATATTTATATTTAAATCTACATGAATCCACGACATTCCCTCTTCTCACATCACCATCGCTCACAATCTCCTTCTCCATTCACAACAACGTCGGTCGTCACACAATATTGCCGATTACTACTCGGTCGGTCTGTCTGTCTGTCTGTCTCTCTCTCTCTTTCTCTCTCTCTCTCTGTCTGACAGGCTATCCGCCTCACTGTCTTTCTGTCTGTTCGTCTGTTCGTCCACCGTCTGTGTTTCCACCTGACAAACTGTCTGACACACATTGTCTCTCTCTGCACATTCACACTTGACAATTTCACAATCACACAATATTCATTGATCACTCGACACGCACAAGTCAATCTCATTTGATCACTTTCATTGTCGACTGGAATATTCATGTGTGCATTGACCACTTGACTCACGGTTTTCAATCAATCACCTTGTAGATGAGAATCCAGGTGACCACAAAGATGAAGTACCCCAGGAACATAATGATGGTGGTAAGTGTCACATAAATCATTTGCATCAATCTATACTGATATTGTTTTGACTATCTGACACACGTGTGAACCATCAGTCCGCTACAACTACACACGAACACTCTATTTCTCTAACACACTCACACAGACACACACACACATTGCGAAACACAATCACTCACATTCACTGACTCACTCACTAGATTACTCAATTATTAACACAATCACTCACTCAACCACTTCATATCACCTCTATTCTACACATACACACCCATCAAACATCACACATTAAACACATATCACTATCAAATCAATCATTGCTTCAATCACATTCCTCCACATATAACACATTCCCTCTCCAACTAAACATGTAGCCATAGATATATCTATACATATAAATACATATATATATATATATATATATATCTATGTAGACATATTTATATTTAAATCTACATGAATCCACGACATTCCCTCTTCTCACATCACCATCGCTCACAATCTCCTTCTCCATTCACAACAACGTCGGTCGTCACACAATATTGCCGATTACTACTCGGTCGGTCTGTCTGTCTGTCTGTCTCTCTCTCTCTCTTTCTCTCTCTCTCTCTCTCTGTCTGACAGGCTATCCGCCTCACTGTCTTTCTGTCTGTTCGTCTGTTCGTCCACCGTCTGTGTTTCCACCTGACAAACTGTCTGACACACATTGTCTCTCTCTGCACATTCACACTTGACAATTTCACAATCACACAATATTCATTGATCACTCGACACGCACAAGTCAATCTCATTTGATCACTTTCATTGTCGACTGGAATATTCATGTGTGCATTGACCACTTGACTCACGGTTTTCAATCAATCACCTTGTAGATGAGAATCCAGGTGACCACAAAGATGAAGTACCCCAGGAACATAATGATGGTGGTAAGTGTCACATAAATCATTTGCATCAATCTATACTGATATTGTTTTGACTATCTGACACACGTGTGAACCATCAGTCCGCTACAACTACACACGAACACTCTATTTCTCTAACACACTCACACAGACACACACACACATTGCGAAACACAATCACTCACATTCACTGACTCACTCACTAGATTACTCAATTATTAACACAATCACTCACTCAACCACTTCATATCACCTCTATTCTACACATACACACCCATCAAACATCACACATTAAACACATATCACTATCAAATCAATCATTGCTTCAATCACATTCCTCCACATATAACACATTCCCTCTCCAACTAAACATGTAGCCATAGATATATCTATATACATATAAATACATATATATATATATATATATATATCTATGTAGACATATTTATATTTAAATCTACATGAATCCACGACATTCCCTCTTCTCACATCACCATCGCTCACAATCTCCTTCTCCATTCACAACAACGTCGGTCGTCACACAATATTGCCGATTACTACTCGGTCGGTCTGTCTGTCTGTCTGTCTGTCTGTCTCTCTCTCTATCTCTCTCTCTCTCTCTCTCTGTCTGACAGGCTATCCGCCTCACTGTCTTTCTGTCTGTTCGTCTGTTCGTCCACCGTCTGTGTTTCCACCTGACAAACTGTCTGACACACATTGTCTCTCTCTGCACATTCACACTTGACAATTTCACAATCACACAATATTCATTGATCACTCGACACGCACAAGTCAATCTCATTTGATCACTTTCATTGTCGACTGGAATATTCATGTGTGCATTGACCACTTGACTCACGGTTTTCAATCAATCACCTTGTAGATGAGAATCCAGGTGACCACAAAGATGAAGTACCCCAGGAACATAATGATGGTGGTAAGTGTCACATAAATCATTTGCATCAATCTATACTGATATTGTTTTGACTATCTGACACACGTGTGAACCATCAGTCCGCTACAACTACACACGAACACTCTATTTCTCTAACACACTCACACAGACACACACACACATTGCGAAACACAATCACTCACATTCACTGACTCACTCACTAGATTACTCAATTATTAACACAATCACTCACTCAACCACTTCATATCACCTCTATTCTACACATACACACCCATCAAACATCACACATTAAACACATATCACTATCAAATCAATCATTGCTTCAATCACATTCCTCCACATATAACACATTCCCTCTCCAACTAAACATGTAGCCATAGATATATCTATATACATATAAATACATATATATATATATATATATATCTATGTAGACATATTTATATTTAAATCTACATGAATCCACGACATTCCCTCTTCTCACATCACCATCGCTCACAATCTCCTTCTCCATTCACAACAACGTCGGTCGTCACACAATATTGCCGATTACTACTCGGTCGGTCTGTCTGTCTGTCTGTCTCTCTCTCTCTTTCTCTCTCTCTCTCTCTCTGTCTGACAGGCTATCCGCCTCACTGTCTTTCTGTCTGTTCGTCTGTTCGTCCACCGTCTGTGTTTCCACCTGACAAACTGTCTGACACACATTGTCTCTCTCTGCACATTCACACTTGACAATTTCACAATCACACAATATTCATTGATCACTCGACACGCACAAGTCAATCTCATTTGATCACTTTCATTGTCGACTGGAATATTCATGTGTGCATTGACCACTTGACTCACGGTTTTCAATCAATCACCTTGTAGATGAGAATCCAGGTGACCACAAAGATGAAGTACCCCAGGAACATAATGATGGTGGTAAGTGTCACATAAATCATTTGCATCAATCTATACTGATATTGTTTTGACTATCTGACACACGTGTGAACCATCAGTCCGCTACAACTACACACGAACACTCTATTTCTCTAACACACTCACACAGACACACACACACATTGCGAAACACAATCACTCACATTCACTGACTCACTCACTAGATTACTCAATTATTAACACAATCACTCACTCAACCACTTCATATCACCTCTATTCTACACATACACACCCATCAAACATCACACATTAAACACATATCACTATCAAATCAATCATTGCTTCAATCACATTCCTCCACATATAACACATTCCCTCTCCAACTAAACATGTAGCCATAGATATATCTATATACATATAAATACATATATATATATATATATATCTATGTAGACATATTTATATTTAAATCTACATGAATCCACGACATTCCCTCTTCTCACATCACCATCGCTCACAATCTCCTTCGCCATTCACAACAACGTCGGTCGTCACACAATATTGCCGATTACTACTCGGTCGGTCTGTCTGTCTGTCTGTCTGTTTCTCTCTCTCTTTCTCTCTCTCTCTCTCTCTCTCTCTCTCTGTCTGACAGGCTATCCGCCTCACTGTCTTTCTGTCTGTTCGTCTGTTCGTCCACCGTCTGTGTTTCCACCTGACAAACTGTCTGACACACATTGTCTCTCTCTGCACATTCACACTTGACAATTTCACAATCACACAATATTCATTGATCACTCGACACGCACAAGTCAATCTCATTTGATCACTTTCATTGTCGACTGGAATATTCATATGTGCATTGACCACTTGACTCACGGTTTTCAATTAATCACATTGTAGATGTCAATTCCGATGATCCTGTTAGGGAGGTTGCCGTGGATATTATTGTTGAAGGTGATTATTTTTTGTTTTTTATCTGAATTTTTATTGATGCTTTTTTACATGTATTTTATCCTTGGTTTCTGAATTTTATTCAATTATTTTATTTTTGTAATATATATATTTTCATGTTCTCTATTTTCCTGACTCACCTTATGTTGGTTATAGAGTTTGATGTTTATCATTTGTTCTTTGCTTCGGGCTTTACTTTATACACCTATGTATCTGTTTATATTTTAGATATTCCACGTTCATTATTTATATTTAGTGTTGCTTTAATATTTTTTTTGCTTCACGTTCCCATTGTCACAGATTTTCTTTTTGTTTCTCTCGATCTGGCTTTTCATGAAATCTTGTTTTGTTTTTATCTTAATTCCTATAGATTTCTTATGTTTTATTCTTTTTTATTTATTAAATATGCTTGTTAAATCCTTCAATCTGGTTTATTGTTTATTTTTTCTTTTATTTTTTTTGTATATTTTCATCTTTTACAGTCTTCTTTTCCATTCATTTTTATACTTTTTTCTTTTGTCTTTTCCTGTATACTTCTTTCTTTTCCCTTAATTTGTCTTTGCAATTTTTTTTTGCCAGTCCTGTTATATTGATAGTTGCTATTGTATTATACACATAATTCTTAAATCTATTTTCGCTTTTTACATAATTTTTTGATTGAGATCTTGAACCAATTGATGTTAGACCATCACAATTGAAAACCTGGAAGCACTGAACGGCCGTTTCGTCCTATTGTGGGACTCCTCAGCAGCGCGCATCCACGATCCCGCGAGCGGGATTCGAACCCAGGGCCTTCGGTCTCGCGCGCGAACGCTTAACCAACTGGACCACTGAGCCGGCATCCAATGGTGATAGTTTCTAACATCAACCAATCCACGAAATTGCGCGACCAACTTCCATTGTACTTAAGTAGATAACTGTCTCTACCCGACAAGGATTAGCTCCACTGGTTACATAATTTCCTAATAATTGTAAATGTCTATTATAATTTAACTTTTATTTGCCAATATACAGAAACTATGACTATTTGATTTTCTATATATTTCTATAGTACCAACATTTGAAGTGAAGTCAGTATTGGCTATAGAGAATGAAACATTACCACAATATTGGTCAGTTGAATTGACAAATACAAGTACTCCAGCTTATATTAATTTGGCAACTATATTTTGTGATTCAGTGAGTATAATATTATTTTTGTAAATTTGCTTTTAATAGATAGTTAATTATAGATAGTATATGTGAATGTAATTCTAGACTTCATAGTAAACATATGAATCAGTTGCCATCACTTACTCTCCATTTAACTTGTTAATCATTCGTATTGGGCATTGATTGATTTACATGGAAAGATGGTATGTATTTAATGAATAAATTTATATAGAATTATAAAATTTTCTGTGGAATCTGCATGTAAGTTTGTGGATGAGCACTGTTGAGAATTTATATACAAAATGATCGTACAATGCGTTCAGGTTTTCAATGATGATCTAACATTTATCGATTCATGATCTCAATCAAAAATTTAACAATCTCCACAATTCATTACTTAAAATTAGTAATTGCATTTTTTTAAATAAAAGGTTTCATCAGTGATAAGTTTATTCCATAATCAATTGAAAGAGTCATACTTGTCTAGTGAATTATGAACTGATATCATCAAGATTAGAATTGAGAGAAAGTGTGGGAATTTCACTGACGATTGATTATTTAATAATAATAATGCCTAAGCCATGCAATCCTCACTTAATCAGTTGGCAATCAGTGTCCGTAGGTATGGTATGTGCTTTGCACCTTCGAAGTGCAAAGTACTTCTACAAGACTGGCAGGATTCCAATCCTGTACTCACCCTGGATGGTGAGCAGATAGACGTAGTCGAGAAGTTCGTGTATCTTATCTAGGTAGCTGCATAAGTGCTGGTGGGGGTGTGAGTGATGAGATCAATGCACGTATAGTGAAAGCTAGAGCGGCTTATGCCAATCTAGGCCACCTTTGGCGCCTTCGTGATGTTAGTCTGGCTGTAAAAGGTCGGATCTACAACGCGTCGGTGAGAGCAGTTTTGCTCTAAGCTTGTGAAACCTGGCCTCTCCGAGTTGAGGACGTTAGACGACTCTCTGTGTTCGATCATCGCTGTCTCTGAAAGATTGCTGACATCCAGTGGCAACACCATGTCAGTAATGCAGAGGTTCGGCATCGTGTGTTCGGGCACAGAGACGATAATCCAATTGGTGTCACAATCTTGAAACATCGACTTCGGTGGCTTGAACATGTTCTACGAATGTCGTCCCAGAGAATTCCACAACGTGCATTATTTGCCGACTCTGGGACTGGTTGGAAAAAGAGGAGGTGGTCGTTATATGACATGGTGTCGTGGCATGAACTAAAGTTGCACAGGACTGGCATCTGTTGGGCCTTCATGGCTCCCTGGTTGGGGTCCTAAAGATGGTGCAACACAGTGGCTAGAGACGTTATCAGATATGGTTCAGAATAGAAGCCAGTGGCGATCCTGCTGTAACCTTCTTTTACTTCATAAAAAAGTGGTTGTATCTTCCTGAACCAAAAGATTTCTTCTGATTGTGCTTTTCCGTTTCCCCCATTATTATTATTATTACACTACCTTACACTAATCTGTTCGTTATTGTTCTTTTTTTACGCTCCTTACCTTCCTTTTTTCTTTTCCCATTCTCATTATTTTGTGACGCATATATATTTGGTGCCCCCTTGTACCAATATTTATGTGTTCAACTAAATAAATAAATAAAATATTTATAGTAGTAATGATTACTGATTGGCACATATGACCAACGCACAGGAACTGTTGTCATTCATAATTTTCTAAAATTCAATGATTCTTTCATTGATTAAAACGTTATTTGGTAATTTGTTATCCGTTTTTATAAAATTCACAGATTTTAAGTAGTTTGAAACTTGGAAATCCATCATTGTCAAACGATGCAAAATGTACTAATGTTACATTCACACCAGTTGAGTCCTCAAATCGTCTGAAAAGACAGGTAGACGCGACCTTAGATCAAAATAGAGAACAAGGTATTCAAGGAACAGCGAATATAGAAATTCCAACTCCTCAAGCAAAAGAACTGACTACAGAAGCATTTACAAATATTATTAATTCTGGTACTGAGAAATCAGACAACAAAACCGGACTGAAGTTATCTAATGTGGAAACTAAAAGTTAGTAAAAAAAATTTTGTTTTTGTTTATGTATTATTATTTTTTCTTTTAAACTAAGTATATCTGACTATCTCAAAAGCAAGATGATGCAATGACGTTACCCACCGAAAACAATAGAGAATGATCTCGTTATATAGTCTACTGATTAGCGTTAGCCTTTAAGACTCTCAGATTTCAACTCAGTGGTTTATAGGTTAAGAGTTTGTACGTGATATCATTTGCTCTAGGTTTGATTCTCGGTTGTGGTATTGTAGGTGCGTACTACTGGGGAGTCTTATGCAAGAACGAAACAGCCATCCAACTCTCCGAGATTTTCGCTGTCTAACTTATAGTCGTTCGGGGCATCAATTAAAAAAGCAATTAAGATATTTGACTAAGTGAATGGTTGATAAAGTGGTAGAAAAAGAGTTAGGAAAACCAAATAAATAAAGGACTACGGAACAAAATCACATATATATCGTTGGAAGAAAGCAATATCGCTTTAGATGTTGATTGTCTGAAAAATATACCTTTCATCCATCACAACTATATACAGCCAACAGTACGACTTCACTTTCGAGCCTAAAGTTTCAGCTTTTCCTCCTATCATTTTCTAATTTACCTCTCTGGTATGATAGGACATGAAGGGACACGTATTCTAGCCAATGCACCTCAACTGAGTTATTAGGGTAGGTAAGTTAAACCATTATGTCATAGAAACATCTACGTTTAAGACGATTGTGGTATACATTATTCTGTCTCATTTTGAACTAACACATTTATCTATTCATTAATCTTTTTCTCACTATTTTTAATCAAAATATAGAAACGATTGTATTAAAAACTAAAAGTGAGTTTCGTTTTATACCTTCATTAATTAATATCCATGCTGATTTGATCAGATCGTATTCATAATATCAAGATTCAGGTAGAATACAATCAACACAACCATAACGATTAACATCATACATACCCACACACACACACACACACACACACACGTTACACTGTACACAATTTCCTGCTTAAATCATACTCTTTGTATCACATCTAATACATTGATTTATATTTTCATTGTTGGTTTGTGTTTATTTGCATTCACTGAGAGGGTAGTAATCCTATGAGATTAATTGATCATTTCTTGTCTCTTTTATTTAATTATCATATAGCAATAATAAAGAAGAAGAAGAAACGTACGAAAAAAGGTTAGTCTCTTTTTCTCAATCAATTAATCTATATTAATGCTCATTTAATTAGCTTGTAGTGTCTAGTACCATGTCAAGCCCACATAACTTATTCTAACATTCGAACAGAGCAATTTATTCATTCTTCTCAAGCTATATTCTTGATCTTCCTAATTATTCGTTTATCAACCTTGACTATTTTTATGTAAACGTAGGTTTGTGCACTTCTTATCTTACTCATTATATACTATCTTTGCTGATAATCTTTTTGACTAAATATCAATATCGACGCAATCAGCACAGAATACACATGTGCCAATAAGAGAGACTGATCAATTACAGACATAAATATCAATGGAAAGATTCAAACATATTTTGATTAGACTTATACCTTAAGATGATATAAAGAAAGAAACCTATATACCTTAAGATAATAGAAACGTTCATTTTACTAATATTAGTGATACATTGACACTGAATTAATTAATCCTTATTCATTGTTTCGTTTTGTTTGTTTACACATATAATGTGATGTATGCTACTGATGTTGATAGATATAAGTAGTATGTGTCATCAACCGAAAGTGAAATGACTGAAGGTAGAAGGTTGAGAAGAGAAGAGAAAACGAACAGAGAGTGATTGATATAGAAATGAAATAATAACAAAATCCGAAACAATTAATGGATATTTTGCAAATAAAATATTCATAGTATGATAATAAAATACATTTGATTGTCCCAACTAGTGTTCTCGTTCACTACAATACAAATATTAATGTTAGACCACCAATAAAAATCTGGGAGCACTGGACGGCCGTGTCGTTCTAGTATGGGAATCCTCATCATTGTGCATCCACAATCCCGATCACCAGATTCGAACCCGAGGACTTCGGTCTCGCGCTAAGCCGGCCGGCATCCCACACTGTTAATGTCTAACCTCAACTAATCCACGAAATTGCGCGACCATCTTCTATTATACTGAGGTAGATAGCTATCTCTACTTGACACGGACTAGCTCCATTGGTCACGACTTCTAACTAGAACTCCGAGAATTCTCTCACGAAGCTAGTCACTAGTGAGCACACGGTAATTATCAGTACGGGGTTGTGGAGATAATTATATGTTGGTCGAGATCATGAGTCGAACCTCACGAGCGGAATCGTGGATAAGCACTGCTGAGAAATCCCAAAACAGAACAAAACGGCAGTCCATTACTTTTACAGGTTTTCAATGGCGGTCTAACATCAGTCGGTTCATGGTCTCAATCAAAAAAATATAATAATCGCCACAACCCAATACTGCTATAACAGATTGTGTAAGTTACGTTTAGGTTATAAAACATACTACTATGATAGATTTGTATTGAATAACTGAATAAAGAACCAGTTAGTGGTGTATTCTTTTTGTAAAAAATTCTACGTGTGTTCACCTAATAACTAAGACCAGATAAGGGTTATAAACCAGTTTGTGGAATTAGAATTATGAATGACAATTGATGGGCTTAAGGTTAGAAATGAGATTTAGGGTTTTCATCATGAACTGACATCAGTTATAATACCAAAACACCATTTATCCAAATGGATGAATGAATTTCGCGCCAAAGTCCAAGACCTATTATCTTATACCTGATTAGTTCTTCCCCCAAATGCTCTGGTACAGCCGAGAGTGAGGAGAGCCACCTCTCTCTCTCTCGAAATGCTTTCACATGACCATGCGTAAACAACCACTCCCACGGAACTTCTAGTCACTGCTTTCTCGCGGCATTAATGATAACTACGAAACTGAGAGGACAAAATACGAATGTCCAGTGCTTTAACCGGGTTATTGGAGATGGAGGATTTATCTAGGGGAGTTGGATAACCCTAATTCTAAACCAATGATGCACATGAGCTCTAGTATCCCGAAGGAAAAAATGACATATGAACCAATTATTGGTCACTGCATACCATGTGACTGTATCTCCCGACGTTGCTCAATTGACTTGTGGATCAGAACTTTAGGTTGAAGGTTCCGGGTATGGCCCCTTACGAAAAGCACCTGTTTCAGTTTAAGCACCTGAACAGTATTCCAGCCATCATACAAATCGAATGATTTATGTGGCGTATATCTATTCGGTGCTTCCTTGTACTAATGTTCATGTGTTTAAATATATAAATAAATCTGATTTTAATTATACTTTTTTGTTATTATTATTTACTCATTAGTTCCAGAAGATCACACCGGAACTATCATCGCCATAGCTGCTGCTGCTACTGGAATTTTACTAATTGTAATTGTTATTGGAATCATTTATAAATATCGTCAAAGAAATGCCGCTTTAACATTAAATCATCTTAAATAATCCATAAATTTTCCTTATTTATTTATTATCGTTTATTGATTTATTATTGTTTATTAATTTATCTTAATCAATATTAGTTTAGTTAATGTTTGTTATTAATTTTTTTAATGAAGTACATTTTTTTTTGTAGTGAATAGTTTCTTTTCAATAAAACTTATATTGCAATAAATAAATTTTTTTTATTATTTTCTTCACAATGAGAATAATGTGTGATGGAACTCGTTCTAGTCAAGTAGGTGGTTGTTGGTGATGGGGCGGGTGTCTGACTCTCTTATGAAATAGGATTGAATTTTATTGTTTTTAGTTATCATGTAAAAGTTTGAATGATATCCGGTTAGTTCTCCTAAAAACCATTATAAAATTACCCTAACCTATAAGGCCCCCAAATGCCCAGGTACGGCCGAGAGTGGAGAGAGTCCGCTCTCCCTCTCGAAATGTTCTCACATGGCCACGCGTTTATAACCTCTGCCAGGGAAGTCCTACTCACTGCCTTCTCGTGGAGGGGGTGCTGTTTACAAAAATGAGAAGACGAAAAGCGAATGTCCGACGCTTTAACCGGATTCCAAACCAATGGTTTACATGGGCTCCAGTATCCTGCATGAACAAATGAACCAATTGTTGGTCACCGGCTTCCATGGGACTGCATCTCCTGACGATGCTCCACTGCCTTGTGGATCAGACCTTCAGGTCGAAGGCTCGAGGAGTGGCCCCCTAAGAAAACCACCTGCTTCGGTTTGGGTACCCGGGCAGTATCACAGCCCTCACACATATCGAATGAGATTTGTGTGGCGCATATGTATTTGGTGCCTCTTTGTACCAAATCTGTGTTGAAATTAAAAAAAATAACCTATAAAGGTATCTGTGAATGACAATGAGTTAATAGTATTTGATTGAAGTTATAGTGAATCATTAAAAGATAATTTGTTTAGATACAATATACACCTCCAAACATTTCATATCTATAGTCTCTTATAACCGCAGCTTCAATTTGTGGATATAGTACTTTGACTAAATTAAAGTATTATATTCATGGATTAGACGCTACATGTAACACATTTAATAGAATGTTGAAAGTACCGATAAGATTAATCAGAAGACCTTAGAGAATTTTCTCATAAGAGAAAATAGTTGATGAATTGAATTACATTTCGAATTTGAATTATACAAGGTATGATTTTAAAATTACCAGTAACAATTAGAATGAAATTAAGACATTTTATTATGAAAAATAGAATAAGGTAAATTGTAACTGATATATTATTAAGTAATTCCCATAACTTTCCAATACATACTCCGATAGTCAGCCATAAACGCATCGATCACCATACAAGTCAGAAAGAACACAGTAAATACATATGTGTTGAATAATCTTCAAATTAGTTTTCATCACACAGAAAGACCATTTCTTTAATGATATGTGTATGGTTTTTGGTTAGCGTTTTTTTAGCGAGTTAGTTTTCTACGGGATGGGGACGCTAACCCCATGCCCAACCCTCCTCCTTTATCCGGGCTTGGGACCGGCAGTAGCCCCCGGAGGGACTCCAGGCGGAGTTGGCAGGACACTATTAGCAACAACGTACTGTGGGAGAGAACAAACCAGATCCCAGCAGAGGAAGAAATCAAAAAGAAGCGCTGGAAGTGGATAGGACACACATTGAGGAAAGCACCCAACTGCGTCACAAGACAAGCTCTCACATGGAATCCTCAAGGCCAAAGGAAAAGAGGAAGACCAAAGAACACATTACGCCGAGAAATGGAGATAGACATGAGAAAAATGAACAAGAATTGGATGGAACTAGAAAAGAAGGCTCAGGACAGAGTGGGTTGGAGAACGCTGGTCAGGGGCCTATGCTCCATTGGGAGTAACAGGCGTAAGTAAGTAAGTAAGTATGTGTATGATGAATTTCAACCACTGACTACTGTGAAAATATGGTTATAAATGAGCATGAGGAATACAGACTAGATGTTAGAGTTATAAATTAAGAGTAAAAATATAGAATTAAGGTTATTACTACACACTAACACCAGTTATAATGTTAAAATGAGACAACATCCAAGAATCGTAATCTTAGAACTGATTCAATCGTCCATAAATCAGATTGTAGTTTCAAAAAATGAATATTCTCTGTGTCAATATTAGAATGTGCAATTTTTGAAGCTGTGAACAATTTTTCGATGTGCAATTTTTTAGTTACTTAGTTTTTAAGCAGTTCATTACGGAAAATTATACTTGAAGCATTTTCAACATTTTTAAGACCAGTGACAGATGGTCCATTATCAGTAACCAGAAATTCATAGGTTACAGTAAATTTATTGAAAAATCCGTTATCAATGATTCCTTAAAGTACCTCGATGCTATTTAAAATCTGAAAACACTGCATACTGGTTCGTTCAAGGCCTGCAGAAAGAGAGAGAGAACTTGAAGTTTGACTGAGAGGTCGTGGTTCTTTTTTTGGTAAAATGCAAGTTGGTCATATCTGCTGACTACTTGGGACCCGTTACTAAAGCACTCAACAACCAGAACCACTATGAATTTTCGTATTTATAAACCGTTTACACTTCGGATTTGTTATTTAGCTTGCATGGGATTAGTCAGAGTAATGTCACGGCTTAGAATAGTTTTAAATGATTTGAGACAACAGTAGAGTGGACTTGAGTGCTGCTAGAGGTTGTGAATATTCATCGACTGAGATAGTTGGGCCACGTGTTACGTATGCCCGAACACCGTTTACCATGACGTGCAATGCTAACCGGTGTTGGAGATGGTTGGAAGAAAGTTAGGGGCGGTCAAACCAAAACGTGGCATCAGTGCTTGAAGTCAGTAACTCCTAGTCTGAGTCATGTTGGTAGATGCAAACTACTTGGTTGAGGTCCACTTGACTATCGTAACCCATGGTTAGAGACTATGGGTGACATGGCTCAGAATCGATCACAATGGTGTCGGTGTATACACTCTTTGTCTTCCCTTAAACTAAGAGATTAAAATCGCTTCTTATCTTTCTTTCTACGAACTAATTCTTTCTTCCTGTACTATATCCTTATTGCAATCTTTCTTTTATATATTACCACCTCTGAATTAACTACTTTTATGAATTCGGTGTCCATCTTGTTGTGCTAATGTGATATGGCAACTTGGACCGATGCACATATGTGCCTGGTCCTACGTTGTAGCTGACTGACTGAAACAACAGTATTCAAAATGTCCGGACCAATGGCTCCTTTTAAGTAACTTCACTGATAACGCCATGGGTTGAATTAGAAGAAAAACATACAGGAAGATTCTTATCTAGTCTGCACTTAAAACTATTGATGTGTATGACGATGGATAACAGTATTAGGGCACTATGATTTCCCTAATCCCAAAGCAAGTAGTTCACACTAGAACTAAATTGACGAGAACTTAATGCATATATCCAAAAACAAAAAGTAGCTGAATAAAATATCAACTTATTATAGACAATGTAGGACGATATAATCTGAAAACAAAATACAAAAACATTTAAGCTATTTCCAAAATACTTGTATCCAGGCTAATCGTTTGGAAACAATATATACCCGACGACGAGCAGTGATGGTCACACTAATAAAATGAAACATAACCAAATAGTCTAAGTCGTTGACAGTATTAATGAAAAATAAACTTCGGCGTTTGCTACCGAACTTTAGCTTGAGTTGAAATTTTCCTCACTGTCAAGTATAGACTCATTGAATGGATTAGACTGCATTGCAAAGGCTGATCCAAGATCAATGAAAACAAGCAACCATGCAGACACAAGCACACTGGATGCACAGTTTGATATACATACCTATGAAAGAAGTAGAACGTACACGGATACGCCTAATCGACCACCTTCGTTATAGTCACTCTAAAATATATTTTCAAAGCCTGGGCCTGTAATACTACTTACCACAACAGTTTGCCTTCTATACCTCAGCTAATCGACACTACAGTCCGCCCACCTAAATGAGTACTAAATCTGATGTGACAGGAACTAGTTATGATGTTTAATTCGCTTAGTCAAAACTAGCCATCCTAGCTTCTGCATAAAACGTCGTTTTTCAATTTCCTCTAACTTGATTGAGGTTAGCTCGTATATTTTACACTTGCTATTGCCACTGTATCTGTCCGTTTCACATAGCACGCAAAAGCTACATGGGAGCAAGCTAACATTCTAACTGATTGGGCAGCTTACTCGACTTATACTACAACTTCCATCATTAATCTTCAATAGTAAATGGTTACTGATTTGTGGTGTTGTGCTACCTTCAATTACATAATCAGATTTCAAGTATTCGAAACACAGATATTCCTTGCTTGCATACACTAACTACTGACGCACAGTAAGCCTCATAGATCTATTGCAATGCGCTAGCTAATATTGTTTTTTCCGTAAGACACATCCCCTTGGATCTAACTCTAAACTACTAAGTTGCATATTCCCAAACTACATTCTTTTTGTCGACTGGTTTAAACTATCTTGTACGAGATTTAGTCTGTTAGAAAAAATTGGCTCAACACCTTTCTCTTCCATCCTAGAACCAGCTTGTAATCACTTACGTTTCAAACGGGTAGGCAGCCTCATCGCTATGAAGTTGCGAATAATCTTCACATTTTACTGTAGATACGTGGATGACACCTTCATCCTCTGTAAAGATAATACGTCACCGCAAGAGGTTCTTAGGCGATTTAATGAAGTGCATCCAGCCATTCAATTTACATCTGAAGAAGAGAGTGATGGCCGAATAGCCTTTTTGGACGTTCTCTTGACTAAGAGAGCGGATGGATCGTTAAAAAGGAGTATAAACAGAAAAAGTACATGGACTGGGCAGTATACGAATTTCCTGAGCTTTGTACCTCTTCAGTACAAACGAAATTTGATCAAAAACCTTAGTTACCGTATTCGCACTATATGTTCTGCTGATATAGTCGAACAAGAGCTTACCACCTTGCATAATAATCTCAGGGAGAACGGCTACCCTAGAAAGTTTATAATTAAATA